TTTTTAGATAAGCATAAGAAATTTAGATTTATAACTAAATGTTCACCTCCAGCGAGCAATGGATACAATTTGAAAGTGTTCATGTAGACAATATTAAGTTTTTGTCCATAAAAATAAAAGAATTAAAACCTGAAAATTTAGATAAGCGTATAAATTTAGATTGATAAATGTTCACCCCCCACCTATAGTCAGGGGAGGCAAATTAAAATAGAAACATGATATTCTTGAACAAAACTATTATATTGTCCTTGAAGGGACAGGACACATATAATACTCCTGAAGCAAAATTCAACTATAAAATGTCTCCCAAAAGTTAATTCAGAATGTACTTAACATTATAAATGTGCTTTTAAGTAATTACTCAATATAATAATGGCATGTATTAATAATTTTCATTGCAATCTTGTGAATAACCATTTAAATTAGAAATAAAGTAAATGTTTAAATAGAACTGAGTTGCTTTAATGATTCTTGTACATTTTTATAGCAGAGCATGGTGAGGTAAACATACTGTGTTGATTCATAGTTACTAATATAATAAGTATTAATAATAAATTTTCACCATAGCATTCTGGCCTAAGAGCAGTGAATGCATTTATATAAATGGTTAGATATAATGGCCTAATCCCAAACAATCAGCCATACTACAAGTAAAGATAGTCTTAGTATAATGTTTGGACAGACAAATGAAAACAGAACCAAATTGGGAAGTCACTGATCAAATTACTTCCATCTGTATGGAGACTTAAGAAACAAGTAATTTGAATGGCACATGCCTTCTCTTCCTGGATTTGAAGGCACTTTAGACTCCCTGCTGGCTAATCTTGATTGTCAGATGGATGGGATTTAGAGTCACTGTGGAAACCTCTGGGCATGCCAATGATGGATTATTTAGGTTAGGTTTACTGAAGTAGGAATATTCTGCCTCAGGGCGGTTGGTACCACAAACTGACTGGGGGAAGTAAACTGAATAAGAAAGAGAAATCAAATAGAACAGAGGGATTCCTCATTTTCTGTTTCTTCACTATGAATACAATGTGAGCAGATGCCTCAACATCTTGCTGCCATGATGGACTGCACCTTCAAACTGTAAGCTGAAATAAACCCTCCAACCTTTCCTGTCAAGTATTTTCTCAGAGAAATGAGAAACATAACTAAGACAAACTCAAACCTGATATGTTGGGCATTGGATTCTTGAAATGGTGGTGGTGGCTTCATAGGTAAAGTGGGTGTCAAGCAAAGGCAATGGCCTGAATTTGGATCCCCAGTACCACACAAATCGTGTGCTGGGACCTGTGAACCTGCAGTGGGTTTGCAGAGATGCTGACCTGTTCTGAGAGCACTCTGGCCATCAAGACGATCACTGAGTGTCAGTTTCAGTAAGATCCTATCTCACAAGATGGAGAGTGATCAAGGAAGAATGGTGGTGATCTCTTGGATCCTCATGCACATGCTTAGACATACATGATTATCCTCATGCACATATATACAAGCAAAAACAGAAAATGAGCAGAGTCTTTACTTATATTTACATTGCTCTAATTCCCTTCAATGTGATCACTATGCACTGATCAAAAGCTATTCACCTTTTTGTGGTTTGAAAAGGCAGCTCACTCTGTTTTCCAGGCTGGCCTTCAACTCAAGATCCATCTGGCCCTGCCTCCCACATAACAAGAATAACAGGTATATGGCACAGTGCTGGACTCCACTTTTGTTTTTAATCCATCTCCATTTATCTACAGATAAAAGAAAAAAAGTAGAGTGGGGATAATGAAGTAGTGGTAGTGAAAGGCAAAGAAGAAGCTGAAAAGTTGCAACCTTTCACGTTCTTTCTCAAGACTTGTAAGGAAACCAAGAAATACAAATTCTGTCAGCCTTCGTCACTTTCAAATCACATCAGATGAGGAAATCTTTGAGACCAAGAGAATTACAAAACTAAATAAACTTTTTAAAAATCCAGTCATTTAGCAGTCACTTTTTCATACTTAATACAACTCAAGTGTTGGAACCACATTGCCATATTTCATTTCAAGTATAGCTTTTTACACACATAGACATTTTGCTTGGCATCTTCACACTCTCTAAAACTCTTGTCTCAAACATCTGCATCGACAGCAAATGTTTCCAATTTGAAGACATTTGTTTGATTCCTAATTCAAGAATCCTACCCCCCGCCTTTTTTTGCCACTTTTTTTTTTGCCTAGGCTAAGGACTTGAAAAACACTTAAGACCACTAAACCTCAATAGAGAGCTCCAGAAAGCTATACTTAGAAGGGAGAGTTTAATACTTTTTTCTCTAAAATAAGATAAAATTCATTATTTATAAAACACAGCATTTACTTAAAATATTTTCAGATTATATATTTCTGACAGTATCAATGTGTTATATTTCCTTAAAAACTTATCAAATATATTAACTTACAAATTAGTACTGAGAATGTAACTCTATAACATTTTTGTAGTATGTGCATCCAAATAAATGAACAGTGAATAAGTAAATGTAAGTTTCAAATATAAGTTCAAGTAAAATTTAATTTTTTGATATACAATGTTTTTGCTAAACAATCTAAACAATCTGAATGATCTCCTACCCTCCAGACATAATCTTTATCTCCACTGTGGAGAGGCATTCCGATTTCCCTATGTTAATATGGATATATCACCCCTTCTAATGGTTTCATTCTTTCTTAGTCTGTTGGTTTAAGGGTTGTTTGAAGGCCTAAATGACCAGGGAGAAGTCTGAGTTTCCAGTTCAATGGGAATGTTTGTTGTGCCTCCTGACAAGAGCACTACCGGCTCTAGAACCAAAACTTCCAGGTCAGCAGAGTAGAAGTTGGAAGGAATCTGGCAAGCAATGGAATGCAGAGATAAAAGGGGAAAGTGGTGTAATATTTTTAAATTAACAATTTATGGAAATAAAGTTTAAATAAAAAGAGGGGCTAGATAGATGGCTTCCGTTGTTACAGAGGACACAGGTTCCATTTCCAGAATCCACACGGTAGCTAATCATGTGCTATAACTTCAGTCCCAGGCATCTTCTGTCTTCTTCTGACCTTTAGAAGTGCTGGGCACACACACATGCAGGCAAAACACCACATAGCTATTTTTTCAAAGTTAGAAAAATGAAAGAATGAAATTTTCTACAGTGATGTCACAACCCTGACACAGACCAGGGCTAGTTAACATGAATTCTTTCTGGTCTTGCATGGAAGCAGCTGTGGCCTTCTGCCAAGCCAGCTTGCTCAGAGGCAAAAGCAGCTTTGTGCTGAGGTTTACTAGAGATCATCATAACCATTCATGTAAGAAGAGAGCATACAGTACTGTTAGGTGACTTTTCTGTATTTGTGCTATCTGTTAGAACTGTGGCATTGGTTCATCTACCTTTTGGATCAAACATCAAGATTGACAGGCTGCATACTCCAAAGCAATCTGCTTTCACAGTGTCATTTATTTTCAGCTAAGACCTTGTGGTTCAAGATAAATATGCCAAAGGTATTTCTTTCCATCATTTTTATAATCTAATATGTTCCTGCGTGACTGTGACGTAAAAGCATCCCTAAATGTCTCTGCTTTTCCATTATTATCATGTTCAGAATTGCATTTGATAACTGAGTATGCTTAGGAATAGGCAGAACCCTATGTGAATGTGTCCAGACTCCCTAAGTAAAAACTATATGCTTCTTTTGTTTAGGGAAAACATCGCTTTGGAAATAATTCCCATGCGATCCTTATCTCCTGCAGGTAAGAAATATTTCCCACTTCTGTCTTGGCTGTTGTAATAGATATTCTCGGTAGTCAAACTGACTACCTCCAGAATTAGCTAAAACCCAAGAGTTGGGTCACCTGTGAGGTTTTGAAATTAAAGACCTATCTTTAATCTGGATCATTTGGGTGATAAGATCCACCTTTAGCTGCTTCATGGGAGTACACATCTCTAACGCCAGTACTCAGGAGGCAGAAGCAGTTGAATTTTCTGAGTTTGAGGCCTGTTCTACAGAATGAGTTCTAGGGTTGCACAGATAAACAGTGTCTCAAAAACACCATAAAAAACCCCCAAAATAATTAAAGAATAAGATCCACATTTAATCTGGATTGAACCTTCTGGCGGAAGCTGACACATATAAAGGATATTGAAGAAGGAAGCTCTCTCTTTCTGCCTGCTTGCCCTATCTCTGGCTATCATTACTAGCATTAGAGCCCACTTCTTTAGAATTTTGGTATATAATGAAGACCAGTTGAGACATCCAGCCTTGTGGACTGAACAACTACTGGATTCTTCAAATTTCCGTTAGTAGGCAGCCATTGTTGGACCTCCTGGACCGCAGCTTATGAGACATTCTAATAAATCCACTTTCTACAAACATGGAAACATTCATTCTACTAGTCCTGTTCTTGTAGAGAACCTTGAATAAGGCAGTTGTGCTTTTTTTCCCCCCAACTGCCCACTGAGGAAGATGTGCTGGCTAACAATAGTGCTCATTATTCTCTAAGTATTCAAATTTCCATGAACACTACTATTTTTATTATTATTCATTTGCCTAGAGTTTGCTCTGAATTTTGGGAATAAAACTCCTAAAGCAATGTAGTCATGATTCATCCTTCTGATGGGAGAAAGACCTATATTCTTGTTTGAGGTCTGGTTCCTGCTTTTCTTTCCTGGTTGAAGTCCCTGTGAAAACCAGGTAAAAAGTACCTTCAGTTCATGTGACCTCAGTGTGAAACTACAGAACAAACACCCCCTTTTATGTCCTTAAATCTCTCTTTAAATGTTAATGTTCTGGGCACAGGGTCTGCTATGGAATCCGGAGGCAAGTACTATTGAAATGCCTACTCTGCTCATCTAGAAAAAGTCTTTGTCTGGGGTGGAAGGAAGGATCAGGAACCATTGTGCTGTATCTTTAACCACAGAACAACCCAATGGGAGGTGCTCTTGTCACTTAGGCCTCACTAGCCAACCAGGCCCTCCAGACAACTTGTCAGTCAGAAGAGGTACCAGGCCCTTCTGGGTGCCAGTTTCAGACTTGTCTCTGAAGAGGAGCTGGCATTTTTTTTGTGTGTGTGCTGTGCTGCCAGTGCTGCTACAGGGAGCTGAGTGGAGAGCTTGGGCAAGCTAGGTAACCATGACATGGTAAGTGAGGGGCTGCTGTCTCCAGATGGGGAGGAGCAGGTGGTGAGGTCTGAGAGCCAGTGTGGGAACCTGCAGCCAGATTCCCTGTCCTGTGAGGTTTCACATTGTCCTTGCAATTCCCTGGACCCAGGCAGGCCTCTGAGTAACTTTGGTCTGGGAGCTGAATCTACTCAGAGCATTGGGAGCAGGGAGCTGTGGGTATAAACATCTTTTCAGTCAACATCATGTTTTTGTGCATCCATGGAAAGGTTGCCGAGCTTGGAGAGGCCTAGTTTCTCTAGTGTCTTGTAGACATTCAGCGCTTTGGGTTTGTCCTTTATGTGTAAGTTTCATTTATGGTTAATTTTGTGGAAGTTGTAAAAGGCATTTCGTGTTTTGGGTAGCACTCCTCTTCTAGGCCATGATGTAGAAGAGTAGAATTGGTGATATAAAGGATTTACCAATGCTTAGGAAGTAGTAAGTCTCACAAAGTAGAATGTAGCTGAGGGAGGACTGTTTGTAAGACACGTGAAATTGTATGCTAACCAAGCCTGTTAGAAATTAGAATGACAGGATATACATTTGTTCACTAGGATTGTGACATTTGGCTCCAGACCATTACAAAGACACCTACACTGATTTGCAACCAGTCACTAGACCCATCCCCATATCAAGGAACAGGCCTCTAACAATCTTCTCAAGGAGGCATTACAGGGTCACAACCAATCTTAGGGTCTGGTATGCCATAAAGTTGCAGTTTTCTTCTTGAGAAAAGCATAGTTCTCCCAGATGGTCAATATGACACCAGGTTTCCTGTCTCTATTTAATTTGTTCAAAGTGTAACCTGGAGAATGAACCTAAAAGATACTTAAGGATGATGGAATGCAAGTGTGTCTAAGCTGACTCCAGTTTGAGCATCAGTTAGAGATAGATGCATACCATTATTAAAGATATTTTCCTTTATTAATCTTCCAAGTGTGTGAAGAAAAGCATATTAATTCTAGAACAGCTGTATTTCTATCCTGCTAGAAAAAATGTTTCTGAGACAAACTCTCTTATGTTTGCTCAGGTGGCTTTGATTCCAGTCTGTTGCTCTTCAGGGAAATGACCTTGCTGTCCTCTATATTACACAGTCAAAATTCCTAAATTAAATGACTGTACTACCTCATAGTTTTAATACATTTGAGTCTTGTCATTCACTAATGCAGTCACAGGAAAGGAATTTACATGTGAAGCATTGCTTCTGTCTTCAGACCAAAAAAGGAGGAATAATTTATTGTGTACACTTCAGGGGAAGCAGGGTAGACATCCAGCTGCTGGAGTCACCATTGTGAAAAAGGACCCGATAGTGGTATTGGGGATGTTTGTGTAATTTCCCAGGATGTTTTAATTCATGTCATGTGAATGAACACAGACCAGAGTGAGTGTACAGTTTGGGAATGTTTTCTTGAGCCAATGAATATTGAATTTGCAATTAGGCAATGCTTCTATGCAGATGTCTTCAATCCTGCTTGACACAGTTATATTAGCTGAGAAATTTGAGAAACAGGCTATTGACTGTAATTCAATGTGTCAGGTTACAGATCTTAGCAGCCAACATATGCATACTGGCAGCATCAATCTTTCTCTTTATTTTTTGAGACAGGGTTTCTCTAGCTTTGGAGCCTGTCCTGGAACTCTGCAGATCAGGCTGTCCTCAAACTCAGAGATCACCTGCCTTTGCCTCCCTAATGCTGGTATTAAAGGCCGTGTACCACCTAATCTGTGTCTTATTAATGACATTCGCTCTACTAGGGAAGGACTTCTTCTTTTTCAAAGTCAATAATAGCTAAGTTTGTAAAATCTTAAAGCATTATTTTTATCATTCTAGAAATCACATATTGGTATCAGTTTCAAATATTTTCTTTAAGTGCATTGCTGATCTTATTGTTGTGGCCAAATTCTGAACCCCCAAATCACCAAGAGGCCCATTTCAATGCAAAACAGAGTCTTTTATTGCTGTTGTTTAATGAGCTAACCCCACTGGCTTGGGCCTTTCATCCATCCACTGCAGTGGATGTCTGGAGAAAGACCCCGAGAAATCAGGAGGTAGGGATCTTATAGGGCAGCATAAGGGGAGTGTCTAGGGGTATGCAACAGTCTCAGGATTGATGCGCTTCCATGCTCAGATGACCTGCCCTGATTGATTAACTGTTGCTCCTGTCCTGGTCACTTGAAGGTCAGATGCACTCCTCATGGCAAGGAACCAATCAGAAGTTAGCTGCCAGAGCTGTGCTTTACAGACAAGTGTACAACAGTGATGTGTGAAGAGCATAGAACCGCCTGGGAGGGCCTATGCCATAACAACCAGTTAGACTCTGCTTTTGCATTGAAATGGGCCTCTTGGTGATTTGGGGGTTCAGAATTTGGGCACAACACTTATCTCTATTTGTTTCTGTTCTCCAGTGTTTCTAGGTCATTAATAGTTTCATTCCTTATCTCTCAAGTGATGTTGATTATTGATTTCTGTGTAAAGTAATGTCTCCTGTAGCTTAGGCTTGCTTTGTGTTGTGTAATTGAGAGTTGCTTTGAACACCTAAACCTGCCCCTGCTGGCCAGTGCTGGTAAGACAGTCCTGTAACTCCTTCCTGGCTGGGCCTTGACTAGTCAGTGAGAAGAAAAAATAGACCAGTTAATGAGTGACCTCCAGCCTCTCTGGCTTTTATAGGGGACTTATAAATTAAGAGGAATCTGTGCAAGAATTGAGGTAATTAGTCAATTTTGAAGATGGTGGAGCAACAGTGCAGAAAGGTTGAGGCAGGATGGAGGGTGAGAGCTTTCCTGCTTCAACAGTAGTTGAGATTATCAATGTGGAATCATGTAATGGATTTTAAATGCTCCATGCATGTCCTGATTGGCCATTTATTGTCCATAGACCAGGGGAATCAAGAATCTGGGTAATGGACTGACCTTATCATGAAACCAAATTGCTATAGTTACAAAATAGAAGATTTGGGTAAAATGTTGTGGCCCTGCCTAACAGGATTGTTCTTTTTCTGGTTTAAGATGTTCATCCTTAAAGAAAGCATGTGAGAAATCTTTGATGTGGTCTAATACAAATCCCTAGTCTCTGGAGCACTATTTCAGCTTTTCAGCAATTTTTGAGATTATAACTACATCATCCACATTCTCTTTCCTGCCTCTAAGCCCTACAATGACCCCTCATTGTTTTGTAATTCTTGGCCTGTCTTTCTTTAACAATAGTTACACAGTAACAGGTTACTGTGTGAATGTGACCTGTGTCTTCAGGATTTCCCAACTGTGAGCAATGGGTTGGCTGCACTGTACGTTGAGTGTGAAATGGAATGTGCACACCAAGGCCCCTGTGCTTTGAATGAGGAACAGTATGTGCTCTAGGAGAGTAGAAGAATGTCTACTAAAATGCAAACTATCTAGGCTAGGCCCTGACTTGTCTGCTGGGCTGAGTCATTTGATCTCTGATGGCCTAGTAGGGGAGATACTAATATTCTGAGGCCCATCTGGGGAGCCCTAGCCAATGAGGGATTCTGAGTAGGCTTAGCAATCAGGAGTACTAGTGACAGGTAGCTTGTGGATCCTTTTTTTTTTTAAGATTTATTTATTATGTATACAGTGTTCTGCCTGAATGTATGCCTGCAGGCCTGCAGAGGGCACCAGATTTCATTGCAGATAGCTGTGAGCCACCATGTGGTTGCTGGGGATTGAACTCAGTACCTCTGAAAGAGCAATCCATGCTCTTAACCTCTGAGCCATCTTTCCAAGATTCCCCACTGCTTCTGCTGTGGGCAGTTGTAAGGAAAACCACAAGCCATGCCCTGGTAAGTGTAGGTTGTTCAGAGCAGTTCTGCTGAACTGTCATTTGTGCTGGGATTTGGATGGCCCATGAGCTAGACTGTGTTTCTGTTCCTCCATGGCCCTTGTCCTCTGAGTCTCCCTGTGTATGGGTTTCCTGGGGAGGGGGAGATTCTGTAGCCCTGGCATTGGAGGATACGATGCTTGTAGTATCACTGTCCATTGTGCACAAACAACTAGGCACTGCTTTTGAGGTGCAGTGGGAACACAGATTGGAAAACTGAAGGTCTGGTTTCTAGAAGTTCTGAATATTGTATTCCACTTTCAGGTTTGTCTTATAGATTTACAAATAGTTTAGGAACTGTTAGAAAGATAGTGATGTGGATCATCTTTCAGGCATATATGATTAGAATGCTTTTAATTTCTGCCAACACCAGTCCCAGTGGTATGACTAAGTGAAGTTTAGTTCCGGGGAAGTAAAGGAGTTTATAAGCTGCAGAGATTTCTCAGGTGTGTACCATGTTGGGCAGGTAAGTAGGACAAAATGCACATATTGTGTCATAATTCATGTGGCAGCAAACAGATTTTAAATTATTCTTCTATATTGATTTGGGATTGGGCATCAGTGAGACTGAGTCCACCTGAAACCACAAGGAGGCATAAGGGGCTGCAGAGCCATAGCAAGAGATCACCTCCATTTTCAGAGAGTTCTCTGTCTTTGGAAGCTTTATCAGTAGCTGGAGGGTCAGAAGCAACAGCTTAAGGGTCAGTTTGAGTTACTATTGTGAAACTTCTGAAGTCTGTGTTTATGTAATTTCTGTACACATAGAATAATCAGTGAAGATCACATTTTTCCTGGCTAAGTTTCCTTTGGTCTTTTGATTAATAGTTGAATATATTTTCCTGCCTTTGTTGTTTGCTTTTTCTCTTTATTTCCTTTATTCTTTCTCACATATTGTTCACATTTTGATTGTTGTAGCTTTGTGATAAGTGTAGAAGTCATATTATGTCAACTGTGAGCATTCTAGGTATTTCACTGTGAATGTAGCTTTGTAATCAGCTTTCCTGTCATAAATTGTTGAGCATTGTCATTGGATTGTATTCATTTTATGGTGCAAATTTACCATACACCTCTTGATTTTGATGCAGAATGGTCGAAACGATCATTTATTTACTGATTTATTTAGGTTTTGTTGTTGTTAATCTGTGAA